ATGCATGAAGCTTTTCTATTTGGTCAATGGGTCGAATGTTTAAAAAAAAAAAGGTAGACGGTAACTATTTTAAACAATAGAATAAACAGCTATTGTGTCTGCTGAACATGCCATGCATTGCAGTGAAAAGGCTGTGTTTGGTCAGAGCATGCCAGCACCAAAAGACAAGGTCCATATGTGTTTGTGGAGACACCTCATACCAACTATGACATTCTGTGGTCGCTGTGAAACTACTTGGCGGCATCTCACAGAGATCAGTCATTGGCTAGTGGACATAACTGTACACATTTAAACCGTGAAGTATGAAAATAGTGTGTATGTGTCAGAGGGAGAGTGTTTGAGTGGATGTCTTTGTTATTGTGTGTGTGTGTGTGTGTGTGTGTGTGTGTGTGTGTGTGTGTGTGTGTGTGTGTGTGTGTGTGTGTGTGTGTGTGTGTGTGTGTGTGTGTGTGTGTGTGTGTGTGTGTGTGTGTGTGTGTGTGTGTGTGTGTGTGTGTGTGTGTGTGTGTGTGTGTGTGTGTGTGTGTGTGTGTGTGTGTGTGTGTGAATGCACACACATGGATGGCATAGTGTGTGAAGATTGAATTTGATCCAAAGACTATCACAGTGCTGAAATATATACCATCTGTTGTGTGGCAGAGAGAGCTGCTGGACATCAGTCGGCTATGTTAATGGTCCATTTGTTCAATGTTTAAACCAACACATTTATGAGATGCACAATGCAAGTTCTCATCGGAGCTACGGTACACAAGGGGTTATTTAAGATAATGTAAACAGTTGTGCCTGAAATGTACCCTTTTTCCCTCATTGTCACTTAAACCAGCCAACAAGAAGTCTCATTATTTGGCAGCAGGCAGACATGTAGAGCAAGGCCAGGCAAGTGATACATGATTTAAAATGTCAAGGTGAGAATGAAGAGAGGTGATTGAAGATGAGAAATTATTGTATATGTTTGTATAAATGCAAATGTAAGTAGGAATAACTTGCATAATGATTTAAAGGACAATCATTGATCAAGTAAGGGGTGGGAATTAATAAGCATTTGCTTCCTCCTACTCCCTTTCGGACACATATGATTTATTATTATTATTATTAATATATATAATATTTTATCATGAATGTGGATAAATACTGTATTTTAACAATACGGTATTCTGTTTTTTCACATTTGTTATTTTGTATTTGTTATTTTTTTAATCTGTTCGAAATAAAGATTGAAATGAAATGAAGGTTGCAGTGTTATGTTAAAAAGTGTTGAATACAGATATGAACAGAGAAGAGACACAAACAAGATAATTGTATCCCTCTTTCCTCCTTCCTCCCTTCCCTCTTTAATTATCCCTTCAGTTAACTAGGTTCATGTGTGGCCCAGTGCGTCCAGATGGTCAGCACTCCAACTGGCTACTATTGAATCATACAGCGGGCCTCCATTAATCAACCAATCACAGTCCTGCAGAATACAATTAAGTTCCCATATGATGGGCCTGATTGGTGGAGAATATTAACGAGCTATGCTGTAATTGTCTCTAATGAATGAAGGACTGGGGAGCATCTTATTTCCTGCTCTACTTGTCACCTGTTGTTAGCCAATTCCCAAAGCTAATGTGCATGAATGTTGTTCGCCTAGATAACTTGAATATATGGCACTATAGCCTTTAATCTCAGTTATCGCCTAATAGCATAATGGGAATGAGATCCTTCCTGTTCTTTACATGAATGTTCCGCTTGGTAAATTGATACCAGATGACGTTCTTGTTTGCATTTCAAAATGTGTAAAATAGTGACCAGTGAATTTAGTTTGGCGTGTTACCAGAAAGCTTCCTGATTTACTTGCTTAATTAAGCTACTTTTCTACCTTGAAGGGGATTTATATCAGTAGTTTGCCAATCTTGGGGTCACTCATTGGTCTAACCTACAGCTAATGTCCACAGCAAGGCCATGAGGGATTGCAAGATAATTATTAGTTTAAGGTTCACATGCAGAAAACATTGGGAACCATTCACTTTCAAGATTTACATTCACTTTTGTAGTTAATCCCAACAAAAGATTGATAACAACAACATTCATTTCAATCATGAATAATCGAGAAAAGGGGTAAATGAAAGTACAATTAATAAAATACAGTTAGGTTATTTTGGTCTATGCTAAATGTTTCCGTACATTTTTAAATGTAAATGGGATCAAATTGGAATGAGACTGAACACTGTTTGCGTACCGTCTGTACCCTCTATCTTGCTTTAGATATACAAGGTTAGTGTGGAGTGTATCCACTGTCTCCTCTGCCAGGCACATGGTGTACAACATGATAAGAAGATAATGGGAATGAAGAGAGATGTTCTTCAATGTGACAGTCTCTTTCCTAAAGACAATACTTAGATCAGGACTGTATCTTCTAAAGGCTGATTAGCTGGAATCAATGCTAACACAACAGTCTGCTGGGTGTATTCATCACAATTCTTGTCACCACACTGAAGCTTGTGTGCCTATTGTTTCACAGAGTCTGTTTTCATCACATGGCTTTCATAACCATGTTCAAGGTTCAAGGCATTTATTGTCATTCGTACATAACTACAGTGTAGTTATGTCGATGAAAATCTTAAATCCCAGGCTCCTCCAACAGTGCAACACAATAACACAGATAAATAGTGCAAGTAAATGCAATATGTGTCTATTCATTTGAGATACACGTTTTGTAAGTAAATGCAATATGTGTCTATTCATTTGAGATACACATTTTGTAAGTGCTATTTTATAACAACTAAGGGAACAAATACAATTCTAACAGTCATAACCAACTATCTCTGTCACTTTGCGTTTATGTATTTCTTTCTTATTCTCTTTTTCTGTTTTTTTTTTGTTTTGGCTTGTCACACGAAAGGGTGTCTTGGCATCAATTTGCCACAGAAGAGGGAGACCCTCTCTTTTCTTCTCCTGTTAACGCTGTCTACATATTTAGGTACATTTCAAGTGAAAAACAGAGGACCTACTGACGTGATCACAAACACAAGTGTGCTATTCTCCCTTTATCTTAATCTTCACCTCTCATAGTCCGATCACTCTTTCTCTTTTCGTCTCTTTCTCACTGAAATCTAACATACCGACAAAACTCAACCTAACTATGATTGTAGTTGCCATAACACTTGTCTTCCACAAGGCCCTTAACAACTATAGGAACAAGAAGAAGACAGCAGTTTTCCAACTGTTCACATTGGCTACAGCTATGCATTTTGGGTATAATATGGGGAGGTGTTACTGGCCCACCCAAGCTTCTCAACTGGTGCTGTCAAATACTTGAAAACACATAGTGAGGGATATTGACTCTGCATCATTTGAAGAGCTAAAGAAGTGTTCCTACATTCAACAACGATATCTGGCATGCTTTGCCATCTCTCTGCAATACCAGAAAAATACTTTCAAAGCCTGTCTTGGTTTAATTTAATCCCTAAATGCAAATAATAGTTAGTCTTATTTCAAATGGTATTTTATTTATTCTGTTATGTATTTGATTAATAATGGATTTTATGTTAAAGAATGTGTGCGAGGTCACATTTGTATTGCTCAGTTTTTACTTATACCATACAACCCCAAAAATGAAAAACGTTCTAAAATACAAGTCTATCAAACATGTTCTTCTTGAAAAACAATTAGGTGCAGCCCATATATTCAGGAGATCAGAGAGAATATTTCCTAATAAGTCCTAAAAACTTTAACAAGTAAATAACTTTTCCACCATTATTAAGGAAGACTTACTCAGAGACATGTTATGAACTGCAAAATAATATGTTGACCCATGAGAGAAACTGTGTGACCTCCAAAAGATTATATTGCTATCTGTAAAAATAGTGTTGCCTTACTTAAAACAATAGCATGGATATCAAATGTCACCCTGTTCCACAGCATTGTTCACTGAACACTTATCATATCTCTATGCAAGGCTCAGTTTGTCTATGTTATGAAATTGGTGTTCTGGCATCGTTTCATGTGATCACCAATAGATTTTACTGCAAAGTCTCTTAAAATTACTCAGCCTTTGACCCAAATGTGAATTTCAGGTCTATTTCTTGGGGCCCATGAAAATGGACTGCCCATGTTCCTGTGGGGACTTATTCAGTTTGCCTAATTGTGACATCACTTTAGCGTATAAGCGTGAACTTTGTGCATTCTTAGGAGACATTTAAAGTATAAAGGGAGGTTAAAACAATACCTGTGTACAATAGTTGTGAAAACAAGATTAGGCATTGAATAATGTGAACTCTTTACCGCACCATAAGAGCTCTCTTCACCCCCATTATTAGTTCTCGGAGTCTGGCATCTGTCTACAGCACATCTGGAATGGGCACTTTCGTTCATTACACTATGATATATTTCACTGCACCGTAGTCCGTTTCTCTCTGTTAGGTCATGAGAATTGATATGCTGGCATCATTTTTAAATGAGTTTGCTGTATCATTAGTGCTGTACAAACTCGTTTCCCATCCATCATCAGGCCGGTGGCCTGGACTCTGTTCTGCTGTGAAGTGGCACATGGCACATTGTTGTGAGTGTGTACTCACATGTAGGAATTGCTCCATGAAGTTAAGTACTGTACTGTGTTGGCTGAAGCTGCATGCAGTGTTTTGTTTGGTACAATATTTTTTCTCCGCTCTGTCAGCAGGTAGGTGGTCTGGAATCCGTCTTACTGTATTTTGACTGAAACTTGAATAATGAGACTGTGCTGATGTCTTTTTCCTGTCTAGCTGACAGGATTTTTTTCCTAATGGCTATTCGTACAGTAGGCTCTCAGTGATATTTTTCGGGGAATTATATTTTGGAAAAAAAAGGACTAAGGCACATAAGTCACAGTACATACCAACCATTCTGATTGAGTGGATAGTAACCATGCATTTTGCAATTCAAGCACTGAATACTGAGTTTGTGTAGGGGGAATTTGTTTCTAATGTTAATTACACAACGTTTTCCCATTAATTGATCAGAATATAATTTCCATTCCATTTACAGTGAGGAGGGAAAGGAGCCAGAACTCAGCAGCCATGAGTCAGCAGTTATCAAAACCATGACCAAAGGACCGCCTGCAATCCAGGGTAAACACGTGTGCGTGTGTGTGTGTGTGTGTGTGTGTGTGTGTGTGTGTGTGTGTGTAAAATATAAATATTAATATAGGATATTAGAAATAACATATCCGCCTTTGTCGGCATAAAAGGATACAGAATACATGATACATGGGTTTCAATTATTTAAGAATGCCTTCATGTTCATTGAGCCTACTGCTTTATGAAGTCTGTAGGAAAGTACATTGCTGCTTGAATCTGTTACTAAATACAGTTAAAGTATATTTGCCTACGTGTCAGTGGCGTTTACTGTTGGCATGTTTCGTGGAATCTTTTCACAAAATGTACTAGTGGAGTATAATCAGACTGGTGCCTCAGATGTTTTCTTAGCACAAGTCATAGTGGGTACCTTACTGTAAATGTAGATTCCCTCAAATAGATTCGTAAAAATTAATTAATTTAGGAATTGAACTAAATCCTTTTTTAATTATGTATTTTTGATTGATTCATATATCCCCCCTTACAGTAACGAAAATGTTATTTTTGTTCTCACTAATGTTTTTTTATTTGAAATCCTGACATAGAGTAAAACCGATTTAGTGCTGTTAGATTTAATGTTGTTGCAGCCATTTAGCGAGAGGGAAAGAGGCTTATTTTTCCATGGCCCAAGCGTGACATATGTTCTGAAATAGGTCATTGCAGAGTTTCTTTTTCTTTTCTCGTCTTTTTCCTCTGTGGAAGCCCATTAAGCAGGCGAGAAAGTCCCGCTCTGCCTGTGACACTTTGCTCAGTAACACATGCAGCGCTTCTACTCCGTAAGAAAGATAATAGTTACTGAAGACTTATGTTATGTATGGGAGTTATGAATACAGTTTTAAAGGCAAACCACAGTGCTGCCGAACAACTAACCTACTCCACTCTACTGCACTGGCGCTCACAGTTTCTGAGAACATTAATTGTTCAGTTTAACATACTGTATATGTACCCCAAAAATGTTTCTATCTGCCTATTTAGCTGCTTCAACTTTGACTCCATCCAATCTAAAATCACAAGTTCTCTCCTTTCCGCCAGTTCTCTCCCTTATGTATCAGCCACTCATCAGACCACATGGTCTTTCATCCATTAGTTGGTCTAAAAACGACTCAAAATCAATAATAATGTTGCTCCCTGGCAGCAGGTGTGTACAAATCGACTGTTCGACATGTTTGCTGATAATCTTAAAATGAGAGGCTGAAAATGTGCTTGGAGATGTGCAAATCTGGTTTGAGGTTTTGCTTCTCAAGTGTCAGTTTAAAAAATACTGCAATTGTAAAAATGCAAAATGTAAAAGAATACCTGTCTAGCTCCAACATTTCATGGAAAACCAGCCCTGTTCCTAAGCCAAACACACATTTAAACATTACACACATGTAATGGTAAAGCATGTAAAAGTAGTCCGTTCCTCCCCATGTGCATATAAAAACAAATCTTCATCCACAGTCTGAAGATCAAAGGCCAGGCTATATGTTTAGCCAGGTGTTGGTTTAGGTTTTAGCTGAGGGAAGGTCTTTGTGTGTGTGTGTGTGTGTGTGTGTGTGTGTGTGTGTGTGTGTGTGTTCGCTCGTGCGTGGCCATGTGTATGAACGCACATATGCCATAGGCATGTGTCAAAGTTGTAGATTGATGTGGTGAATTCATGGTTGTTGACAACAGTAGTCACCCAGCTGCGTGCACCACCCTGACACCTGCTGGGTGTATAGTCAAGAGGTTAGAGGTCAAATAACTTACACACCTAAGAAGAAAACACAGAGCTTTGTGTTTCTATAAGTGCTTGTATTTTTATTAAATGTTTTGTTCCTCCAGTTTCTATTGTCTTTATCTCTTTTGTATCTTCTTCAGGTCGAGTCCCAAAGGCTGGTTTAATCACCCCATCTTCTGGTATAAAGGGTAATGGAAGTGCCAGTGTCCCCAGGGGTCCTGTCCCAACCCGGCCTTTACCTCAGCCCCATCCTAAAGATGAGGACACCCTGGTCCAGATGGCAGAACACATCCCTGCTGGTTTTCGTACGCCCATGTGTGCCCACTGCAATATGGTCATCAGGTGAGAGTCACATTATTTACATTGATTAATAATGTCATTTACAATTTAGGAACCCATTAAGAATCTCTGAATGGATTATCTAAATTACCTCAATTAACCTACTATCCTATTTTTCTTGATAGCAGTGTGGAGATATTACAAATAAAGAATCACGGGCTCTGTCATCAGCCCAAATACTGCTTGCTCACCATTCCTTAAAAAAGAGGCCTGTTACTTCACTTGGCTGCCCAGATATCCAATTGTTCTTAATCAAGCCACGATTGGAACATATTTCCATATCTAAATTATTCAGCGTCCCAGTTAGGCACTTAAAATAATTAACTGGAAACCATCTCGAGTAAATAATCTGTGTATGAAACTGTAGAACTACAAAGATCTGACTGAAACTATGGATGTATACACACTTGATATGATCTGATACCAACTCTTGGTTATCCTGCTCTTCTCATGACTGCCTTAACACAAGCGTTATTTCCCAAATTGTGTCACCTTACATATCACTGGATAGGGTAGCTCACATGCTAATAGCTGCCAGGCTTGTGCCACGATCTGAGAAAGCTCAGATAAGCACAGCTATTGTGTGCAGTAAATTAGTCTGTGTTGTTTTCCTACTTTAACTAATCATCAGAGTGGACAGTGCCAAAGTGCTTTCACAGTGGACGCAGAGGATGATTGTCACAGTAAAGCTTCAGTGACATCAACACATCGGATTTCTAGAATCTGATACTTGTTTTTGATGCAGCCTTTATTAACCTGAGTAGAATATGATTAGTTATCAGCAATTTTGATAATCTATTCATTGTGTATGTCTTTAATTTGAGAAAGCCCAACATGGACTGCTTTCAATGTCTTTCATTGGAAAAACTTAGACTTTGGACCGTTCTTCTTGTAACTTCAGGTAAATAAAAAATAAAAAGTTGATTTTAAACTTATCCATTTGTCTTTGCTTGTCCTTTTTTCACCCAGAGGGCCATTTTTGGTAGCATTGGGAAAGTCATGGCATAAGGAGGAATTTAACTGTACCCACTGCCGTAAATCTCTGGCAGATATAGGCTTTGTGGAAGAACAGGGCACTGTCTACTGTGAACATTGCTATGAAGACTTCCTCGCTCCAACATGCAGCCGCTGCCAGGACAAGATACTTGGGGTGAGTTTGTGTGTGTGTGTGTGTGTGTGTGTGTGTGTGTGTGTGTGTGTGTGTGTGTGTGTGTGTGTGTGTGTGTGTGTGTGTGTGTGTGTGTGTGTGTTATTTTAAGCAATACATTAAGCAACACATTAAGTAGACGAAACACTCGAGTCAAATGTAATTAAAGTCAGATCCACTCGTGTCTTAGGGGCAGTGATATCATAAACCTGTTAATGTACGCATTCAAATAATTTTTCAAACAATCTTTCTTTTACCAGCTGTATTCACCTTGCAGGTACAACTATGTGGCTTTTATCCTGGATAAAGTGTTTAAGTCATGGATGTTTAAAGTTTAACTTCTTCATATTTGTCTACTATTATAGTTCACTTTTCATTCAGGAAGTATGACACTGCGCTGTCAGTACGCTTGTCAATGTTTGTGATTGGTCAAATGTTGCTAACAACCCGCCCCTTTCATGTTAACGCGCAAATAACTAGATTGGGCTTGAGTTACCGAGTTGATAACCAGCGTCATACAGTAGGACCGCTTAGCGAAAGCGCGTTTGTTTTGGGTTAGGTAAGCTGGGTAACTCAAACATATCCAGGGTATGTTGAACTGGATTCGTAGTACAGGCCTCTGTTTTTTGGAGACAAAAAGGGATACTCCTCCTCTGTGGAATTCAGTGCAAACCCGTCACACATATCTGACCTTATTTCTTTGATGGTTTGTATAGACTGGTACATCAACTTGATTAAAATGTTTCAGTGGGGGTTTGAAATTATAAATTGGGTGCATAACTACTTTTGGTTGCAATGTAGGATTATAATAACATGAAGTAGCTCCCAAATGCAAGATACTTTACTATAAAAATGAAAGCTACAGAAGCCCATATTTAAAACATCCTACTTAATGAAAGTGGTTGACACAACATGCAAACCTATACCTGAACTGATATGGCCTAAAAAGGCTTCATTGCTATGGGATTTGTCTCTATAATTACTTCTTGCTTTGTTTATCAAAAGCCAATATGAGACAAAATAATAAAGGGATATTAAATATTAAGGTGTAAACATCATCAAAGAATCCCTTTTATGGTAACAATAAAATACCTGAAAAGGCAAGATAAATTCAAAGGCCCATGTAGGAAGGCTAGGGAATTTTCTATAGTGACCACCACTGAAACCCAGGAATGTGGTGTATGTTCGGGTGTTAGGAGAATTAGGCTTAGAGGCCTTGAGGCTGCAGGTGTAGCATGAACCCAGAGCGTCAGGAAGCTGAGATGGCTGCTCTCATAACAGCACTGACATTCATCCCTCACGTGTTCTAACCTCTTTACCCTCAATCCCTTTCAACCCTCTATTTCTCACACATCTTCAACCAGCTTACGGCTTCTTATTAACCTGTTTTCTCACTCCCTCTCCTCTAATCCTTTATTTCACTCTGGCCCACCAACTTTTCAATGATTCCCTGTCCTGTCGTGTTCTCACAGTTTAAGGGTGGGAAAGGAAGCAGTTTGTCTATTTTAAGCCGGGTCATGTGGCCACACAAGAAAAAATATTATATTTAAATGTGACGTGAGAAAAGAACAGACTTTAGGAAAGTCGGTGTGCATTCCTGGCAAATGTAAAACAGACACTTTTATCCATTGTGATCCAATTTGGATTGATAATAGAATTGGGAAGGATTTTTGTTCACACATTACATAAACAGCTGTTTAACAAACAATTCCCCAATTAGCAAGGTAACATCCAATAAAAAGTTTAAGCATCCTTGATCTAATTGTACTATTACTTAGAGTCTTAGACGAACAAAAACAGAGACCAGGGCTCATAATGAACTGTGTTATGCTTCCAACTAACAACAGTGTTTTATTTTTGCATCCAGGAGGTGATAAATGCCCTCAAACAGACGTGGCATGTCCACTGCTTTCTGTGCGCTACCTGTCAGCAGCCAATCAGAAACAACACCTTCCACCTGGAGGAAGGCGCGCCATACTGTGAACAAGGTAAGTGATGAGGACTCTTATAATAATAAGTTGACTGGACACATGCTGATGAAGGATGTCAGGATGGAAGACAGAAGTCTGTAAATGGACACAAGTGACTCTCTGTTATGATTAGAATTTATTTTAGTGAAAATAATAACCAAAGAAAAGCATTGATGCTCTTTTCTGAAAATAACATGTTATGTTGTTTTGTCTGAAAAAAGATTTTTACAGTATGTTCGGTACCAGCTGCCATGGCTGTGAGTTCCCCGTTGAGGCTGGAGACAAGTTCCTAGAGGCCCTTGGTTACACCTGGCATGATAACTGCTTCGTCTGCGCTGTAAGTGAAAGCCTCACTGTACAATTAATTAAGACAATCCTATCCATATGACCTGCCCAACTTTGAACGATGAGGGCAAGACTGAGCTTGAATATAAAAGAGACACAACATTTGCAAACTTTGCATAGAACAGCAGGGGCGTTATCCTGGGTCATTATTGATTCAATGTACAACGATGACCACAATGACACTTACCAACCTAGACTTTTGACAATCGCTTAACTTTTTTTTAAACCACTTGTCTTTCAATAAATCATGAACTTGATACATATTATAAAGTAATGGTATTGTTTATTTTTCATCATTATGGAAGAGTTTTAAAGTTCTTACTCACGTGTGTGTATTATCTTTCCTCAGGTGTGCTGCATTACTCTGGAAGGCCAGACCTTTTTCTCCAAGAAGGACAAACCTCTTTGCAAGAAACATGCTCACACACTGAAGATATGATTGTTCAGTGGTGTTGGACTTTCCTCACACAATTTCTAGCTATACATTCCCCCTTGCTTATGGGGTGGGAAGGCCTCTTAAAAGTTCATGGGACAGTAAAAGACAAGCACTACTTACATAGTAACATAGCAGCCAGAATAAGGAAAACACTACCATGTTTGCAAAAGTGAACTTACCCTTCTATGGGACACAGAACCATTGTAAGTCAAAAACTACCAGACTTTCCTATCCATTTTCTACTATAAGCAGCAAAGCTGGCAGTAAAGAATCCTTGTTTTTATCATCTTTCATCAAAAATAGAGATTTTTATCTGGATTTTTGTTCTGACACATTAAAAAGTAGAGCGTTTTTTCTGTTATTAGTGCAATGTCTGTTTTCAACCAAAAGAAATCCTGAAAGTCATACATTTAATAATACAAATAATGTTTTGATCCTGGTCTCTTTTTCTTTATTCTTTTTTTTATTCGTATCTCAGAAGTAAGAACCTTTTAATAACATCATATTGAGTATTGTAAATCAGTGTACAAAGACGCTTGGGTAGTAACCTTTTGATTCACACAACACTTGAAATGATACAGTACCAGAAATGCGTGAAAATATACCATATATTAATATCTATTCTATGGGAACACAGTAAGAGTAGGTTATTGGACAATTATTTCATGAGTTTATTATTGTTTGTTTGAATGTTTGTGTTGCTGGAATCAAATGTAACAATCTGATCTGCAGCTATTAAAACAAAATACACTCGGACAATTCTTGTATCACTTGTTTGAATACAGGTGAGCTGGATGTCTGATGTTATGGTAAAACCTCTTGTTTTCTTAAATAATTTAATGTATTTTATGTTCTCATGTGTTACTTGTTAAATGTTACCAGTTTCAAAACAATTCATTACCTAAATGGCCCATGACATGTAGATGAATTACAATATAACAACATATAAAGCCTGTATTATGTATATCCATGTATTTCTCCTTATTTTGATACTATGATATGTTTTGATTATTGCATAGTATTGAGTGCCATATTGTATAATTTGTCATATTCATATTTTTAGTATTTTACTCATATTATAATATAAATATTTATTTTCAATGGTATAATAACGGCATACATTTCTGCTTGATGCATTTATAAAAGTGAAAAGCTCTTTCTGTCATGGCCTGCAGGAAAATAGGGTCAAACATATTCTTATTGTAGTAAACAGTATTTTTATTCTGTTTTTAGAGGTAAGATATGTGTTATCTGCAAACATAAATTAATTTACTGTTTAGGGAACTGGGTTTTTGCTTTTTAGGGAATGGTGCAGGGAATGGTGCAGGGAATGGATGTGGAGGGGGGTAGACGAATAGACATTTTGTTGCTATGGTCTATTCTTTTTGGTTTTCTAACACCAGAACAAATGGTAGCAAAACTCATCGTTATTAATTTCACCTGATTATCATTAAAGAAAGCTTGTTTCTTTTCTGAATGAGATCAAACGGGTGAGTACAGTGTACAGCAGTAATGGGGCATAGTAAACAGTTATTCAATCTCACAAACTACAGTTGGAACTATCTGAGTTGTTTGATAAATGATGCTTTTAAAACCTCTAGAGGCAAATCCTGTGTTTAATCTTTATGTTTGATCTCTTCTCAGTCAGTGTAATACTATCTTACCACACTAAACTTCCTGTATTATTGCTTGAGGAACCACATGGCAGTACAGAGGAGTGTGACATAAGCAGTGTGAAATGTAGATTTTAACGCATGTCTCCACCATACTGAGAAAAGGTCAAAGGAGACACGGTCACGTCCTCACTGGGGTGGAATAAAGCAACCCACTCTCTTCAGTCTGCGTACAAATGTAACTACTTTACACATTGGAAATGCGTGCAATAGATACGCAGAAGTCCGATTTTGCGTGCATATGATATGCTAACCATTCCCCTTGAGATCTGAGGCCGCGTTTTGCGTGCATATGATACTCCCACGTTACGTTAGTTATGAACGTATCTCCAATACGTTTATTTTCGACATATCTTCTAGAAACATATTTTCTCCATGATTTTCTCCCACGTTACGTTTGTTATGAACGTATCAGATGGAACAGAGAATATACAATGCCTTGCAAAAGTATTCACCCCCCTTGGTTTTATTGCATCAAAACATGTAATTTAATTTGATTTTGGAGAATTGTATTATGATGTAAAACATGCAACAACTGATAAGGTCTGGGCTTTGACTAGGCCACTCCAAAACGTTTAAATGTTTCCCCTTAAACCACTCTCGTTGCTTTAGCAGTATGCTTTGGGTCATTGTCCTGCTGGAAGGTGAACCTCTGCCCAAGCCTCAAATCTCTGGCAGACTGAAACACAGTTTCCTCAAGTATTTCCCTGTATTTAGCTCCATTCATCACTCCTTCTATTTTTACCAGATTCCCAGTCTCTGCCGAAGAAAAACATCTCCACAACATGATGCTGTGTNATTATGCCCACATTTCCAAACCTGGCAGCCTCTTACAGTTTTTCTCAATTATGTTCTTGTTTTGAAGAAATGAATTTTGATTCTAAATAGTGGGTTTAGCAATTGAGAAAAACTGTAAGAGGCTGCCAGGTTTGGAAATGTGGGCATAATTGGGGATTGTTGCTTCCTCCTCGGGCTGTTGCTGATTGGCGGATGAACCTGACCCCTGTGGCTGTGGTTGGTCAATGTGAACAGATGTGGGTGTGGCTCCTGCATCATAAAGTCCACTTAATGCTGGGTGTGAAACTCCGACTTCAGATGATTTATGTGGAGATAACAGATAGCAAAGCTTGATAGTACTTTTTGGTGTAACTTAACCATATATAGATCTTAGATTAAAGAGGAAATGTGTTATGTGCAGGTGTGAAAAGATTAGAGCATTGTAAATCAGTGTTAAACCTTGCAAAAAGTTGTAAGTTTGTGACACATCAATGCAACATTTGGTTAAATGTTTGTACATCACAGAATAGACGTTAGTGTCTGTTATTTATCAAAAACCCTTAAATGTCTTATCGGAAGTGACTACTGTGTTGCGGGACAATTTATCATGACAGGTGAAGGATTAAAAAAAGATTTAACAAGTTTAAATGATAAATTATACCTGACCTCTCCACTGTTTGTCTCAGTTTCAGAGAGACATTTAGAAGAACATTCAGTGAAGGAACTAAGGAAGTAGGGGAGAAAGGAAGAAATGACAGGGACACCAGAGACAGAGTGAAAAGAAAAAAAGAAAAGATCATATCACTTTATTAGCTCTAATATAGTATGATAGTTTGTCTTCAAACTCAAAACACAAGATATATACGTTTTAGCTACTAGATTGACAACTATTTAAATGCAACAGAATGAAATTCTACAAAGAAGAAACTGTCATTAAAGTCAATCAATCATTTTTTATTTATATAGCCCAATATCACAACTTACACTTTTGTCTCGGGGCTTTAAAGGGAGCATTCTGTAGTAAACATAGGGATGAAATATATGTAAAGGCACTGGAGAAATATTATATATAGAAAAGGTCTCAAAATAAAACCTTAGCATTATAATCCATTTTTAGCATTTGTACAGTCACTTTGAAAAACATCTTATCCGAACAACCTGCTCATTGAAAAGAGCCATTCTGACTTGCATATACAGTACCTCTTATCATACAGCACCTATCTGTAGAGCTGCTTACATCCAAGGAGAATGGCCTTTTAACTATTGCTTTATATAAACTGTACAAACATTGTAAGTTTAAATCTCTTTTTCCATTACTCAGCTGCCACCATATTTCAAGATACAGGTTTTATCAGTTAGTTCCAATGCAGTAAACAAACCATTAAAGCTATTGAATAGCTTTGACGAATCTTCCAGATAATATATCTTAACAAACTTCCAAAATACGTGAAAAACATACACTACCGTGTGAGAGTGCACACAAGCCAGATTTACTATTTTCCGATGTGAGAAATGTGTCCTTTGTCCAAACCACACACCTCCCCATTGAGTGACTTATACATACAGTGGTAGGAACAACTTTAATAATGTCACACATCTGTAATAAATGGGATTAAAAGTTCTGTATGTTTTCTTAATGAAAATCTGCCATTGAAAAATGTGAAAGACCCAGAATGCAGAAAGCTATTTTTTTTTACCAAATCACTACCATGCTCACCGAAAGGAGCATAAAAATGCTTTAATCAAACCCAAATTCAAGTACAATGAATAAAACAAATAAAAGTTAGTTTTAATGCTCCTAAAGTTTACCTTTAGGTTCAGTAGATTGGCCAGTGGCCAGACACGTATCAGTAACGCTCAATTTAAAAGTCTGAATGAGGCTGACTCAAAAGGTAATGGTCAAGGACAAGCCCAAGCACACGTGCACAAACACACACACACACACACACACACACACACACACACACACACACACACACACACACACACACACACACACAGAAACACCCAATAGTTTCTTTGAACAGTATCTCCACATTTATTTAATTTATTTCCATTATGTTATCCCTTAAGCAGTCTAATTCATCAGAAAACCACCCACAGAAGTAAAACTGATATAATTCACACATACACACAATCACACACACACACACACACACACACACACACAGTCTACTGGACATTGAGGGTGCGAGCAGACACTCCGTGATGCCAGTCTCTCAGCTCGTTGTACTTAGGACCAATCAACATTCGAGTGGTGGTCTTGTTTGATTTGCTGTCACAGGAGGAAAGAGAAAAGAAGAGAAAAACACAGCAAACAAGAGAGATAAGAAGCATTTAGGAAACGCAGAGAGGTTGCCCTGCATTCATAAGATATACTTACAAGCCATGCTACAAGGAAAGCCTGATGATATGGTAAGGGCTAACGCCACAAACAAGATGCTGATTGTAGACAGAAAACTATTTGATGGGTCGGATATGTGAAGTTATGCTGTCATCATCAGAATAGAAAATGACAGAAATCAATACAGAGAGATAAAGAAAATAAACTGTAAGGAATATCTGGAGAACAGTTAACTCCTGTCACATGAGGTCTTAATGCAGCCCATGGATCACGGCCAATATGGACTGAAATGATGAATACATTTCACAGTGAAGCAACAACACACAGAAAGGAAATGTCTGCATGTTAACACAAGTGACCACAGACACACATTGATCACATGTATCGCAACAAACCACAAAAAGCAATGGACAGCCAATGGGTCACATCACACTAAGAACAACACCAACATACCAGCCATGATTGTCCACAACACAATCAAATGTCAAAACAACATGCAGCACTGCAAGGTTGTCACATCCACAAACCAATGCAAAGACAACCGGTAGGAGCACACACACCATCACACAAAATAACTTTCAGTAATCTCAGAGGGGTATTAAAATCGCTTTCTGAACTTTGGAGCAACTACAAATGAACATATTGCAAGGTGTACAAAGGTCTGGCTTTTGACTTAATACCTCAAATGTGATCCTGTCTCTGCCGTCTAGACAGGAAGAGATCACCCAGCATCAATTAAGCTGCCAGATATGTGCCATAGAGATCTGATTTTTGGGACTCCTTGTATGTTAATGTGGACTTTATATGTTAGCCCAAAGAAGAGGGTTAACCCACATTTTAGAAAGTATAGTTACAAAAAACATTGCACAAACAAAATTGATTATTTGGAGTTTTGGACAAACAATGCACTTACTTTGTCTTGGCTGCCTCAGCTTCCTCGTCTTGAGCTACAAGGGAAAATATAACAACTCCATTAAAGAATAAAAAACGGTAGTATTTAGCTTGTATTTTAAGTTAATTAAAATAGAGCCTTAGTTTGTCATTCATTCAAACATAAATACTATGGTTCACAGTATGCATATTGATTTTGCCATGCTTATTTGACTATTTATTGTTGCCCTTTGCTCGGATGTGTTCAGTCAACGGTTCAGGTACATTAACTATATAAGGTGCACTAAAGATAGACTATGGAAACGTTTTTCAGTAACGCACCACGCTCGGTTCCGGTGATCTGAGCCAGAATCCTGAAAGACCTGGACTGGGTGGTGCCGGAGCGTGGGCGCCAGTCCTCTGTGTCCTCGGTCATGCGCTTCCTGCTGGCATCAGCATGAGTGGGCACATGATAGAAATGGATGTCTGTGTCCACAATATGTTTCCTGGGGACTCTGGAAGGACAGGATGGATAATATCAGCAAATATACTTTTGAATTAAAATCCTCTCTCTTACATGATTGATGAAAGTGAAAGACATGACGACTGGTTTCATTTCTTGGAGCTAATACAGCATGTCAAAGTGAAAAGTACACTTGTTAAATTGTTGTAGTGTACTGTAGATAGTTAGCTCCGACCATCAGAGTGTGTTGTGGAACAAAGCCGTGTTTAGTCTTTTTATGAGGTTAATTTCAACCAAGGATTTAAAGTGATATACAGTACAAATATTTACGTTATTAAAAACACAATAATTCAGTTAGAGGAATGGCATATTTTTAGACTGGAGGTTACATGAATTGGAAATGCAGCAGACTGCACTTTGTTAAATTTGGTGTCTAGGTCTGAACCAATCTGATACCTTGGTGGCTGGGGTTTTCTTAAAAACCGTCGACAGAAAAGAGCAGGACAGAAGAAAAGAGAAATAGAGTGAATAAAGGCAGGCTAAAAATAAATCAGATACATTTATAACAGTCATAAAGAGACAGAAAAGACTTACTTTAAAATACTTTGAGGTCCACTAAAAGGATAGGAAAGCAGAGAAAGAGGAAAATTCACAGTTATGAAGAATTAAGTCATTAAAAAAGTATCAAAGTTAATGTTAACAAGCAGGCAGCAGAATAGCTGAAAGTAAATAATAAAACCCATATGGACCACGACTCCCAATGCATGCAAAACACTCAAATCAACGATCTATTTCCAACCACATGGTGGTGCTACTGGATTGTCTTGACTCTTATAAAAGTCTAGTCATTCATAATTTGGACAGTAAACAAAGGAAGATTTCAATGGAAATAAAATATAATCAAACACATGAGTGTTTAGCATAAATATGATTTAACCTGTGTGGTTTGTGTTTTTGGGAACACATCATAAAATGTGTGCAAACCTACAATCTCTGCAAAAAGGCTGCTGACAGGCCTTTTTACTAATTGACTGTCAATAAATCAACTCCTATGACAAATATACACACATACACACAAAGGGGCATTGAAGAGTAGTCAGACCCCGCTGTTAATAAATCAACTATAAATACACACACCCACCAACACTTGACTAGCACAATGAATAGACTTATTTATGAGTGTCTCAACACATTCTTGTCACTGCAGCAGCTATGTGGGTGTGGGAGTGTTGACGGCTCTATGTGAGCCTGGTCACACACTTACAGTTAGACTGGAGGTGTCTGACTAAACATCCTGTATGGGTGTGCCACTCTATAAGTGATTTATAGTTAAACAATTCACTGTGGCTTCAGCATTTTGTATTACACACAACATGTTCCATTTTAATTAGCTGAATGCATGTGTGCTGCAGTTCTTGCATAATTCCAACATAAAAGATAATCTGACTAAACTATTCACATAACTAGCATAAATCATGCTCTGCAGTAAAATCATAGGCAAATGCATGCAGCTGCCATGATACTGTAGACACACAAGACATAGGTACGTATACGGCGAGAGGTGGATAGAAAAAAAGGAAGCAGGCAGTCCAACACTCATAAAGACATGCTTCAGGGACTAACTTTGTGATCTGTTGACAAGCCGCAGTCTGCAAAGCAGGAAAACAAGGGTTGAAAGATAGGGAGAAGGAAAGAGAACATAGACATGTCCACACTTTTGTAATTTTACATTAATACATTCAAAGGTGTCATTCAAAAAACCCTTCTGAAATAAACCACACAGATCATTTGAAGCATGCAAACAGGTAAGCAAGATGCAAGGATGCACACACATGCAGTCTTACATTCTGACCTCAGTAATATTAAAAAATACATATTAATCATTTTTATTTTCACTGGCAGGCGCCTAATCTGTTCCCTTTTATGGGTTGCTAATCAATAGCATATGTTGTTGCCATTGTATGTGTGGAAAATTTACCACATGTGTTTGCACAAATTGGGGAATAAAGGAAAAAACTAGTTATTTCAAACTCCAAAAAAAGAAAAAGAAAAGAATGGGTTTACCGATACCGCATGTTGAGTTCTACTGACAGTGCTTTTACTGTGAATATGCACAAATTATTTAAAGATGAAAAGAACATTGAAATAGAAATGTTTACATGAAGAAAGCAGGTCAAAGCCCAAAAGAGTGAAGACAGGTCCAGTTGGTATAATATTCTATGCTATTAAATGACATCAGGAATACTTTGTGAAGGCTATGTACCAAACTCAATGGTGTGTGTCTGTGTTTGTCCAGATGGCATAAGATTATGTTGTGCAGATCGCTGGTGTGTGCCGAGTGTCACAGAGAGAGAAAACAGTGATCACTGAGTTCTGCCCTTTTAACCCCTTTTAAGGCTTTAACTTTTCACAGAGTTTATCTACATTTGGTAAATTAATTGTATTTCTAAAGGAGTACTTCTTCCCCTACTGGATATATGACATTCTTGCCAGGGATATTATTTTTACTTATCCTATTATATGTTTCATTATTTTAACGGGAATGCCAACGCTGAATTAAAGGCCATCAATTATCTAGTTATCTATCGCAGAGACCCAGCTCTTACATATCTTTTATTACAGAATTTCCCTTCCCTGAGGTTCCTAAAGCAAACAAATGGTTTATAAACCTAGTTTATTTTTGCTTAAACATCAGTGTTTCCAGATTTGTTTATGAGGTTTTCTAACATTTCATAGGACACAAATAGCTGAAAGTATTTCTGATTGGTGACATCTGTTTGTTAAATGGTAACCAAACCAGCTGCACATTGCCACATTTTCAGTGTTACATTTCAACACTTTAATAAACAAGACTCAAACCAGAGGCATCCTAGTTTGGCTTGTTTTACAGAGATTCTAATAGTTAGCAATATAGTATTTTGATTTGTTTTAAAAGATGTTCTTTTATAAAGGAAACACAAAAAGACATGTGATTCTGATTTATGATGTGAACTTTGAAAAGATTTCAAGATTCCAGACTGGAGTCTAGCGAGCCAGTAACGAACATAAACATTGACATAAGATTTGAAAAACCCCTAAAATAATATAGCACATATACATTATACATGTCAAGGAGCATTTAATATCCCATTTGAAAGTTTGAACAGAACCAAGACGCAGAAAGTCGGAGGGAGATAAAGTGCAGAGAATGGATGGATCCGTATATTTGATTGGCTAGAGTGAACACCACTCACCCATTAAACTCCAAAGGCAAGGCTCCGCCCTGACTCTCCAACAGGCCCCGCCTCTGCCCCATTGCCACCTCACATGCGTTCTCAGTGGAGTAGAGGTGGATTGGTGTGTTATACACTGATGGCTGGGGCGCAACAAGGCCAGGGGGGGAGGAGGAGGAAGAGGATGGGTAAGAGACAGGAGGTGGAGGAGGGGGGATGGTGTAGGAGGAGGCAGGAGTGAAGGCAGAGGATGGGGATGGGATGAAGGGTGAGTAAGGGGATTGTGAAGGAGGGTATTCACTCTCTGTCCCGCAGCCCCCAAAGGGTCTGGGGGCCTTGTTGTGGTGGGCGGCTGAGGGGCTGGAGGAGTGCGGGTAGGGAATGGGTGGAGGGGGATGGGTGAGGGCAACTGGTTTTATGATGTCTGATCTTTCGTCCTACCGGCATGAGAGAAGAGCATGCAAACACAAACGAAAAACAAATCACAACACAGCACACTATACTGATGCCTCTCAGGTTTGGTTTGTTCCATAGGCTTTATACTGTATAAAGCATATGATCAGTATATTTATTATAGTAGGATTGAATTTAGGAATAGCTGGGGAAATGTATTTTGTCCCTATAATATGTTCTGAGAAGCATCAGTATACTTAACTCTCATTTTAAATGAAAAACAGATGTAATAACATGAGAAATAATAATAATTACATGAAGTATTTACATCGATCAAAGTAAATGTGGTTTTAATGCATGCATGGCAACGTTTCAGAAGGGTGTAGCAAAAGGTTTCAAAGCACTTGGTACCCCAAGTGAATATCTTTTTCTTATTTAATCATATTGAATATGATTAAAAACATGTTTCATGTCTTGACTTTTGTTCCTGTTCTATAGTACCTCCAGAGTTGGTTGAACAATGACATTTTCGAAAGAAAAATGATCAAGACTCATCCAGGACTCAATGAAACAAAAATGACATACAATTGAGTAAAATGTTGAGTATGCCATAATGACAATTACTTTTTCATCAAACTTTAGAAGGTATAAATTAAAAATATAATATTTAAATCAAGCCAGAATTGTACGTTAAACCGGGGTGTGCTTTGAGTGAATACAATATTGTTGTGCTCCCTATCTCTGTTTCTTATCCTATATCTAATAGAACTGCTCGGGTCTTGATAGATTGGGTGGGGAAGTTCATGAGATATTTCTAGATGGTTATCAAGAATAACTTTTATCCAGCCAAATCTTTTTTCTTGTTTTGTATCTATATCGACGCCGGGATCCGGAGTCGAGGCTGATCNTTTTTACAGAATATCAGTATGAGAAAAACGACACCCTCTATCCTTAGACCCTCACATCGTACAAGGAAAAACTTCCAGAAAAAAAACCCACAGTTTAAAGGGAAAAATGGGAGAAACCTCAGGGAGAGCAACAGAGGAGGGATCCCTCTCCCAGGACGGACAGACGTGCAATAGATGCCGTGTGTAAATTGAAAAGATAATACATTTGCAACCTAGGTAGTCCAAATGTTTGGAAATGCATGTGTGTATAATAGGAAGATGAATCCACGAGGATATCCATCCAGGACTTATGATCCAGGACCACAGCCACGACTCAAGATCCAGGACTTGCAATCCATGACACAGGACCGCAGGATCATCCATGACTCCGGATCCCGGCGTATATAGACACCAAAAAGAAAGAAATTTGGGGAAGCTGGGTTAATCGGAACATGAGAGTACACAGGTATAGACAGAGAGAAGGAAGAAGTAAGATGTCCCCCGACAAACTAAGCCTATATCAGCAAAACTAGGGGCTGAATCTAATCAGCCCTAACTATAAGCTTTATCAAAAAGGAAGGTCTTAAGCGCNGATGTTTTTACAATGTTAATCAAATCAAGTTTTATTTATATAGCACATTTATAAACGATTTTTGGTCGAGCCAAAGTGCTGTACATATAATAAAAATAGCCTACAGTAGAGACACTTTAGCTATTTTTATTATATGTACAGCACTTTGGCTCGACCAAAAATCGTTTATAAATGTGCTATATAAATAAAACTTGATTTGATTAACATTGTAAAAACATCTTTATATACAAATAAAAATCTGTGCACACAAGTAAATATGTGTGTTATTTCAGTGACATGCTATGTTACTGTACCTTTGGTGCCACAGGAGGAGGTTTCGAACCACTGGAGACCCTGGAGAGAGAGAGAGAGAGAGAGAGAGAGAGAGAGAGAGAGAGAAGGGAAAGAGAAAGTGCATGAGTTAAGGGTGTACACTTCTTCTTTATTTCAATATTTCCTTTGATTTTGTATTTTATTTATATAATATGTCTGCTTTTGACATATGAAAATGTATTTTTATAATAACTTGAACTGACTGTTAGCTTACATGGATAACATAGCACAAACCTTTCAAAGGATGCCCACTGATATTTATAGACCCATTCAAATTTGCTAAGGCCATACTTTAAAATATTTAGATCTCACTGAGGTTGAGAGAAACTGTAGTCGTAGTGAATTATTACTAAACCTGAGCTCTTAGCAGAGAAACCCACATGGAGAGTTTTCTGTCCTCAGCTGACAGAATCCAAAAGAGTCTCACAGTTTCTGACTGTGTCTGTGAAACTGAAGTTGCTAGGGCTGCACGAATATGGCTTCTTTCAATGCTTGCTTGCTTTTGAAAGCAGCTGTTTTTAGTCTGTTGATTAAGGCTTGTATCAATCTGATACTCTTGGTCTTTGATATTCTTGATGCCATGAGATCCCCTAAAGGTCATCTGAGGAACTGGACTGTAACTAACCAAAGTGTTAATTCAACAGAGGAGTGATATCAGCTTAGCACTTCAGATCCTTTTTCATCTGTTTACACTTTTTTAGGTTGACTCGTCTGGTTGAGAATAATATTGACACAACAGGCTTATGCTCAATTAACCAAGTCAATCATTCAAAGCAGTCATTGATCAATATAAACTCTTTTGAAAACAAGTCAGATATAGTATTCAGGAGAGTGAATCTGAACAACAACAGCTTACGTACAGTACAGTTACACACATGGAAACCATTACTCAAATGATTGTTGGAGTGCATCACAGCTTCATTTAGCATGATATGAAAGGGAAAAAATACAAGAGATATCATAAATTAAAGGTTAAGTAAGCTTTGCAGAAACAGAAGACGTGTGATTCTCAGCGGCCCCGCATTCCTTTCAGAGCAGCCCTTCTAGAAACTTCCTGAGGGAGGTTCATGTCCTTCACCTCTGTAAATTTGAGCCGACAGCCTTGTAGTAGCTGGAAACACATCAGTCTACAGACACAGCTCCTCATACTCTTGGCCCTTTCCTTACTGCCTACTGTTCCTCTATAGTTTGCCAACAGTGTCCTGATAATGTCATCTTTCTTAACAGCAGAAGGAAAAGGAAATCTCACAATCAATTATTTCTACAACAGGTAAGATTAAGGGCACTTTGACATGCCAGCAAACAGTCTGTTTTAATCTAAGTGCAATTTAAAACCTGGTGCTCGTTGGTTGGGCAATTGTGGATAAAGGTAACTGTTTGTGCGCACAGCAGATCCGTGCTGAGTGAAAACAAGATGAAAGCTACATTGTATTTTCCCCACGGCATAGTTTTAATTTCGTCCGCTTTAGCTTGTGCCACCATTGGACTATAACTTGTGAATGCGCCCAACAGGAGCTTGGCGATACGGGTGTTTAAGAACCCTGATCATGGTTGTGATTTTTCACTCAAAGTAAGGAAGAAAGGATGTGCTGCCTTAACAAAAGAGTCCAAAGCTCAACTAAAAGCAAAACAATCCCCAGAGCAACTGCTAAAGACATTCCTGTTATCATCTGAGGGAACGCAGTTCAACTGTTTATTGCCTCAGTGTGCCTGAGCTTTTCCCTGGACACACTATACTGTAAATAATCCAACAAGTACCTAATCAGTGCAACAGCAAAGTATTCACTGACATCAAAGCTGATCGGATGACAGCAATATCCCCCAGCAAGGTGTCTCTTGTGCAACCGATGGCTTTCACATGTGTGAGGCATATAGAGTAGGAGGGAGAGGAACAGGGTCTTCTGGGTATTTCACATACCTCACCCCCATCCCTCTGTGCTGTAGCCTCTATTACACTACAGCTATAACTGGAAACACCAACATGGAAATGTGTTGGGATCGTATTCTAAGTGGGAGGGAAAAAGATGCCTGCTAAAATATGAATGAGAACTACAGTTTAATTGAACTCAGAGTCTTTCAAACCATTTTATTATGTGAGACGTGGCATGACCTTGATAGAACTATGTTGTACCTTCAAACAGCAGTGACCAAATTTGATTTTGTTTTCATTTCAAATTCCCCAAAATAAATATATCAAACATATCATATTCACCAGAATGTGGGTCTTCTGTTGGGTGCTGATACAGCAGAGGAACAACAGGACCTACATTAGCGCTGATTCAAACACTAAACCAGAGAAATTCTTCTCCATAGCTCAAATGTGTGAAGGTCAGAGTAAGTGGATACAACAGAAACAATGTGAAGGTGACAAACATATGGCAGCATTTGCTGGGATATATGTTTGTGTTTTCCCAGGAGCAGCTGGTAAAAAATATTTATTTTTCTCTTTTTGTATGTGTATGTTCCATGTAAACTGTCAGGCTACTGTATGTGTGTCTGTTTCCTTCACTCTGTTTCATGTTCATGGTAGTTTAATATCATGTTGCTGAGGGATTGGTCTGTGTATGTAACTGTGAGTATGTGATCCTCAAGCTATTCTTTGTGGTGACAACCATTTTGGATTTGCTTTGATACCTTACCACATCCCAATGCTTGCTGTGGCTACAGTGGTGATGCTTAAGCATGTTTCCATATTTTGTTAGGTAAAAGTAATTTAGGGTAATATTTTTCAACATTAGTCATGAAGGTTTGCATGCACAAAACAGTCATTTTTATTTCTTTCAAATTTCCCTCAGTCCTATATTTGAGGTTTTCCAATTTATGTTTTTTGGGAACTACAAAAGCTTTAAAATAACACTGGCGGCATGCTTTCATGGGCTTTTTACTTTTTCTCTGTTCCGTTTTCACTATCAACAACAACTCTTTTGGTATTCACAGGGCATGAACAAAACACCATCTCCTTGTCAAATCTTCTTTCCTCTATGAGCCCCCAATGATTAATGTGCATGCATTCATGCTGTTTTGCATCTCTTTGAAGATTCCCAGGATTTATGCATTATAGTTAATTAATTTGTCATAAAGAGGATGTGGTCTCGTCAGCATCTCTTCTCAAATCACCCGTGCCTTTGCGGCTGTTCTGTTCTCAATGGTGCATTTGTGTTTAATCTCCTAGGTCTATTCTTACTGGAGTGAGATCATTGACCGATGTTTCCAGGGCTGTGCCCTGACATGCCATCAGCTTCACAGAGCAAGCGACCCACCATACTGAATCAATAAGAGATTGTTGAAAGTGTGTGTGTGTGTGTGTGTGTGTGTGTGTGTGTGTGTGTGTGTGTGTGTGTGTGTGTGTGTGTGTGTGTGTGTGTGTGTGTGTGTGTGTGTGTGTGATGTCTGAAAATGGGGTTGGTCAAGAGGCAGCGGTGGTTTTAGTGGAGGTGACACCGACTGGCATATGTTAGTAACACCTGTAGACTCTATGCTTCAGAATACAAATAGGCACACACATCCAAGATATACAGTAGAGGCATAGAGTGATTTTACAAGTGGAAATGATTATATCACAGGCTATATGTGTGTGTGACCTCATAAAATGAGTGTTTTACTTTTTCTGTCAGACTTTTTGTTTACTCAAACAGAGAAACTCCCCACATGGGAAACAAAATATAAAAATATGCAATACACGCACCAACTGACATGAACACACACACACATTCTCTGTCTTGTTTAAACAGCTACACACATCATTGTGTATTAAGCAGCTCTTTAATGAAGTGTGCTACCATTTGGGTGACAGAATCGTTAAAAGTAGTGAAGGGACAAAGGCCCAGTTGACACAAATAAATACACATGCACACACAATGATGTATTATTCAAGTCGTGGTGACAGGTTGGCCCAGGAAATGTAGGGTAGGGTAATAACACAGACTACAAGGACCAGCTTATACTCTGCACCTGCAAATAGGCTTTAATTGAATGCACACCGATGTAGACATAGAACAAAGGTGTGCAGGCCTTCTTAAATTATTTTCAAATATTGGACGTGTGAAATACTTGTATTAGATTGATCCGGTTATAAATGGCTCTGTTTTTCTTACCAGAGCTGGTCCTGTTTGCCTGTCTGGTTCTTTATGAGCCATAATCTTATCACTTGATTTGTCTTGTTGAGACATTTTTTGGCAGCTCTTGTTGAACATTTGCATTCCCTCCAAGAACAAGGGAATGATTTTATTCAACTGATGTATATTTGAAAAATGATGTGTTCCTGATATATCATTTTCTTATCATTCAAATTTCCCCTGTGTCCATTCATCTCCCTTCTCTTTTACTTCACTATGTAGCAACGATAGATGAAAAAATAAAATCTATTATAGAGGAGACCAAATGATATTGTGCTTATCAAAAAGGTGTTGGAATAATGTGTGTGTCTGTGCGTTCAACTGTGCAAAAATATTACATTTGTCCCAAGGGATTCAGCAACACGAGTATGAAACCCATGATTAAGAGAGTGAGAGATAGGAAAGGGACTTCCTGCTTCACTATGTAAATCAGGGGGTTTAGGATGTCATTTATGTTCAAGCACAACTGTGCCCCTGGGTCATTAAAGTAAAACATGACATTAACTTTGTTCTTTCAGTCTCAACTTTATATAAACATAAAACGTGTATCTGTTTCATTCCTCTTTTAAACTAACAGGATATACAGTGTATACTACTCTCCATTTCTCTCTGTTGTGTTTTAATTATCTCCCATTCTAATTTAATCTTTCCAGTCTTCCATGTCGTTTACCACCTTTTTTTCATCTTCTCTGAGATGAGGTCACTGTTCTTTGAACAAAAGTAATGATGATTATTTAAACGAAGCCCTCTAAAATATGCTGTCGTCATTCCTGAAGGTGGGACAAAACTGTCATCTATTTATTGATTTTTCTGTGCCTTATAAGGAAGAAGGGGAAAGAGTAGGCTGCTTTGTTTTCAGGTTTTTTCTTTGAAATTGTACCTTACACTGAAGCAGACAGACCAACG